TGCTCGCTCCTCTTTGTTGTTGGTCGCAACCAAACAAGACTGTGTAATTGCTTTCGGTTTCTCCACAGACATTTGCCATCTTTAAAACGATTTCTTAGCTCAAACAACAGTGAGGCAATCAGAGAATTCATATGAGAATGTATTTCAGCCATTTTTAATTAAGCAACCGGAGTCTTTGGCTTGGTCTTAAATCTAAAATAACCACCTAAGGTTATTAGATTTCTTACTGGCCAAACATTTTTTAAAATAAATACAATTTTTGATTTATCAAATTTGTGGCTTAAAAGCTAACAAATTAATATAGTTGAGAGTATAGCAAATCTACAGAAAACAATTGAATCTTAAGATAAGTAATTGGAGATAAAGCTGGACTGACAGACTTCTCTATTGGGTTCTCAATTGAAAGCATAGCTCACAATCAAAAGTTATTGTAGCTTAAAGCAAGCAGAGATAAAATTTGCAACAACCCATTAAGATAACGATGTATATAATGGCATCTATGCGTACAATTTGAAGTCTGTCAATTCCAGTTCAGTAATCTCCAAGCAGAATATACAAACAAAATCGTTGACACTTCAAACAAATAATGCTTGGACTAAGCTCATTTAATAACTACCATTTTTGTATAAAATTTCAATTTATATTTTAAAAATGTTCAATAATAAACCAAATTAAAGAATGGTTTTCTTTATATAAAAAAACATTCACAGATCTACTTCAATTTGTTAGCTGATGAACTACATGAACTAAAGCAACATTGAAAATATTTTATTTCGGGAGGAGTACATGAGCTGCAGACCCTTGAGTTTAGCTCTTGAGGCCTTTCGCACATTTACTTAAGTTATTTGACTTGTTTTGCCCTGTTTTGCCTGTCTTTTATTTTCTGTGTATTTTAGTTTTTTCTTATGTTTTGTTGTTGTTTTTGTTTAGGCGTCACTGAGGCCCCAAGCAGCAAAAGGGCCAAAGATGCAACAGAACACACGATACTTCGGGTTAATACAATTTTGTTGGGTCTCCTTCTTTGTGTTGCCAAAACAGTGGAATTTTCGGCTTGAAGGCAAGGAATATCCTTTTTGTTTCGCTGTTCTCCTTGCACGCTGATTTCTATTTTATAAGCGAAGCGCCTGAGCTACGGGAATACGAAGCGTGTCAGAGTTGGCATTAGAGCCTGACATGCCTGCAGGGACAATGTCGGAGCGTTGAGCTATGTAAAGGGTATTGATGTGCCTGTGTGCCTGTATGTGTGTGTGTGTGCGTGTGTGTAATTGTTGTGTTGTTGCCTGTCTCGACTTGATTGAGTTTTATGCACAGTTTAGTCTCCTGTGTTGTGCCTAATAGCCGTCGGCTCTTAGCCACGTGGCACACATCCTTAATTTAAGTGACGCCAGCCTTTGAAGTTGAAATCTGTCTTAGGCTTAAATTGTGCTCTTTCGTTTTGGAAATTGTGGCAAGCGCCTCAAAGATGACTCAATACGAATGCTCACTGAGCTAAAATTCACATTTTTTGACGTCACCGTTGGCCCCAATCGCTCTTTCAGTTTCTTCTTATTTTCCTCAACTCAAATATATTGCCTTTTCACCTTTATTTACGCTGCGATTTATTTATTTTCGCAATTTATATACACTATTCAGAAAGTATTTGAGCTTTACTACTTGGTAATATTTAAAAAAAAAACAATATATTTTTTTTAAATTAAAAAACCTGTAGTTAAAAAATTTGAAATATACGAATAAATAAATAATAATATTATATATTAAAACAAAAAAAATAAATAATATGCAAATTATCGATTTTATTAATTATATTATATATTATTTAATTAAAATTAATTAAATTATTAAAAATATTTTAATTTCTTATTTAAAATTATTTATTTTATAACATAAGTTATTAATTCTTAATTTTTAATGTTAAAGGAAAATTAATAATATATTGAAAGCTTTTTTAAGTAAAATGTATCCAAAATATATTTTAAATATTAAATAAGTATAACCTTGAGTATAACCTATTTATATTTTGTAGCCTTATTTAAAGTTTTTATTAGGATTTAATTCTTCAGTTTTTAATAAGCGCATATAAACTTCGGTAGCAATTTTTACTGATGAATATTTTATTTTATTTTTCCTATATACACACATATTTACTTATTCAGCTTTTAAACTTGCCTAAACTTGGGAGTCTAGTCTTTTGTGCCAACTGCCAATTCAATGGGCTGCATTCATGAGCTGTCTGAGTTTTTTTTATATATTTTTTTATATATATTTTTATTTGGTCTTTCGCTTTTGGCTTGTTTGCTTTTTCATGGATGTCTGCCCAAAAAGGTTGAGCGAATGCTCACTTGAAGCATATGTGTATGGGGCGTGTTTGGGTGTGTGTGTTTGGGTGTCTCTATAAAGCAAGTCATTGATGTTATATGACATCGCACAGTTGACATCATTATAAGTAGAATAAAAAACTCTTACATAACTCTAAGTATTTGTATAGTAGTTTAGCTAAAGTTTGCGGATAACTCATATATATATATATATACATATTTTTATTTATAACATAATAAATGACGTATGTACAAATTGCGATAGTATTATTATTAATCTATTTTATTATTCAAAATTAATAGAAAAAAATGCATTCAAATTATATAAGAAGATAATTGAAGATTAAAAATATTCATTTATTTTATTAAATACTTTTTATATATATAAACATATATTTTTTTTATTTAATCATTAAAACTTTTAAAAATATATTCATATATATTCAACTATACTTTTATAAAAAAATATTTATTATATTATTATTTTTTGGATAAGTTAAGTATCTTAGAGCAGTAAAATTATTTAAAAATAATTATATAAATATTGATATTTACCCAATATATATATATTATTTTGAATTTGTAAACTAAAATATATTAACACAAAATTAATATATTTCTTAAAGCTTAAACATTTGTATATTGTAATATTTTATCTTTAGCTTGGGCTGAGCAAATCGAGTGGTGCCTGAAAATTGAATATTTGGCTTGCTTTATCTTTTTCACCTGTCTATCGTCAACACTTTTGACTTAACTTCAATTAGATGTCGTTGCCTGTCCTGGCTGAAATGCAAAGACGCTTTTATATTTGCGTCGAGACGCCTTTGTGCGCAAATATTCAGGGCTTATGCAAAAGAAATCTCCATTATGCAGGATAATTGAAGCGCAAGGCGCCACTCAAAGTCTACGTCAACTTTTAGGTCTGTCTGCCTGTCTATCAGAATCGAGTTGAGTTGAATTGAGTGTTTGAGTTTAAGAATTTCGATTTGCAATTGCCAGGTTAAGCCAAAGTCGAGGCCAAACGAGTACTCAGTTTAATTCAAGCCATATGCATTGGGCTTAAATAATCTGTCTGCACACATTCACACACACAATTTCTTTCTCTCCGTATTTTAACGTATACGTTTAGCCCCAAAAATTAGGCTACAAAAATTATGATTATGATGTGTTCATTGTTTTAATGCGTCCCCTTGCCAAAAGGCAATTTGCCAAATACGCATTGCCAACACAAATATCAAGTACCTACAAGCACACAATAATACACACACGCAAACATACAAATATACAAAGTGTGCTCAACTTTTCAAGTACTTACAAATCGTCACTGGATAGGAATTAACTATGAGAGGCTATCTTAAAAATATATATGATTTTGTAACATGTAAAAAAATAAATATCTTTAAAAATATATTAAAATAATATACATAAATATTAAAAAAAAAAAGATATACAAATTATAAGATATATATATTTTTATTGTTTATTGCTTTATTTATATTTAATAAATTTATAAATATAAACTTATATTCGAATACCTGTATAAATAACGCCAAAGTTAGTGCATTTGCTTGGCGCATTACAAAATTACAAAATTGAAAAATTCTATATTTTTCGTAGGTTTTTGTCTTTTGGCGTAAGAATTTTGTTTACATTTCGTTCTACTAATCACATGCAAATCCTTTTAAGTCGCAATGACTTTCTGACTCGGGCGCATAATAAGCTCATTTGTAATGGAAATAAGTACACACGCTCCAGCCAGATCTCTGTGTGTGTGTGGGTGACTGTTTGTGTTTGTAATAGCTGCAGGTTATTTGGCATAACCTTTCTTTCTGTGTGTTGTTTTTGTAGCTATTGCCTTACCGGCAGTTGGGCTACAGTTAACCTGCTTTTGTTTATGGCATATGAGTCTACATATGTGTATGTGTGTGTGTGTGTGCCTGTGTGCACATTAAAATATGAATCTAATGTTCATTTTATGCGCGTAATTTATGCTGCCAGGCAAAAGCGAGCATCATTTGTACAGGGTGTTGACTTACTTATAGGCAGGCACTGTGCTCTAGCCGCCAGCATAATGATGTGTGACTGCTCAGCTTTAAAATGTATAAAACCTACTGTGAAATAAAGTTGTGACTTCAAATGATCAGAGAACAATTGTATTCAGCTGTATAACAGTTGTAGAGAAGTTATTCAACAATTGTATAACCGTTATATAAGAGTTATATTACAGTCATATAAAAGTTAATTAACAGTTGCTTAACAGTTGTATAACAGCTGTATACAAATCCTTTTGAATAATTCAAATTCGATTTATTAAACAATATTTTCATAGAACATAATTGTATTTTTTTTTAATTATTAAGTATTATAAAAATATTAATAAATAAATAAACTTAAAATAAAAAAATATTCTAGTTTGCTAAAATCATAAAATATATTGTAATTTAAAATCAAAATTACCCATGGAGAATAATTTCGTCCATTAGAATGCAATTTTATAACATCAGAATAACTGTTATACAGATTTCAATTTTCAATTTAATAAACAAAATGTTAAATTATAATAGCAATATTAACAAATTGAAAGCTTCGTCGAATAGCTGTTTTAAGTAGGCGTAGCTTTGTTCAATATCTGTAAAACTCTTGAAACTCAGAGAGACATTAGCAGTCGAACAAAAACATAAATAGACTAAACAACAAACACAACATAAAAACACAATCATTAATACCTAAAACAAAAAAAAAAACTACAACATATAGATACATACAAATACATAAAGATACATGGACAAACATAAAGATACATACAGACACAAGTTATATTTAAATAAGTATTAGGTTAGACAATGGCTCTCCTCGGCGATTTCAATGTGCTGAAATTCAATAACTATGCTGATTATCTTCTGTCGTTTACCAAGATCGATGAATATCGATATTTGAACAGTAAAGCTGTAGCCAATGCGGTGATTAAGCTCGGGTATCGCACAAATACAATTATATATGAAGAAGATGAATTTTATGAGTTACGCAGGAATCTACTTATGTTGCTTAATCCAAAGCATGAAACAACAAATTTGTTCAGTACTTATCTGAAGAGCACGGATCCGGCAATAGTTGCTTTGGCCCATCGAGAGGCTCCCAATATACAGAAGAAGTTATCGGTAAGCTAAAATCTATTTTAGAATTAATCTGATTATGTTTCCTCTTCTATATGTTCTCTGTATGCTAGACTATTATATTACTGCAATTGCGACAGCGCAGCGGTTTCGATATATCGGGCTATATCGACTATGAGGATAGCTTGAGCGCCTGTGCTCAGCATAAGCTTGGCGCTATCAATTGGAGGGCAATATTTGAGGGTCGCTCTATGCTGCGACCCACTCAGGATCATTTAAGTTTCTATGACTGGCATAGCGGTAAAATTTCCTTTAATAATAGCAGAAACTATTGTATCATACATTCAAGTGGCTCGCTGATGTTCATGCACAAAGGCGATCACAAATTTATTCCCGTTACGACGGCAGATAACTTGTACAAAGATAATGTGAAACGCACATACTATACCTCGCCCATATACGGTTGTGTTATACTGTATGATCATATTGTACGAAAAGCAACTTAGGCTTAATTCAAGAGAAAATCTTCATTTATATGACATTTTCGCACGATTTATATCTCCATAATTTGGATTGATTGGATATCAAGGAAATGAGAAGCAACTGAAGTGCACAAGTCGAAACTGTTCGACTAGAGGATACCCTCACTCTCGCGACTATGAGACACCCTCACCTCCAGAGCTAATATTTCAATCATTCTACGATTCTTTTATGTACTCGTAGCAGTGCGCTTGGGCTGTCGTATGGGACTTACTATAGGACTTGAGATGTCTCCTTTCCTAAATCCAAAATATACAAAATTAGGAAAAAACAATTAAGCTAAATATATTAAATAATTTATAAAAATAATATTTAATTATGATAAACAAAAAAATATATTAATAAAAATAAAATGAACATAAAAATAAATATAACTTCAAATCGAAATTAATTTTTAATTATATATATATATATTATATTTATATATAGAAAGAAGCTACATCAGATGGTGACAACTGCTGAAACCAGGCGCAAAAGAATAAACAGATCCGGCAGAAATTGTTGGAGCGAATGTGCCACTGCCAAGAGGCTTTTAACAGAGCCTGTGACTTCGCCGACAAGTTTTTGCGAAGGAAAAAGTGGACTCTTAAGGTTAATGCGTGATACCATCTGATTCCCGGGTAGCTGGCAGCGCAAGAAAACGGAAGTCCGATACACCGGTCAAAGTGGCAAGTGCATAAAGCATTTATACCTATCTCAACAACAAAATCAAAAATTAATTAATAATAAATAAATATTTGTATTACAAATTAACAATTATTAAAAGTTGTTTTTATTATTTTAAATTTTGTACATAGTATGCTACGCTTAACTTTGGCCCAATCAAACTAATCAATTTCAGTTACACACTAACTACTACATAAACAAAAACAAACACAAAAAAAAAAAAAAAAAACAATATAAAAACCAAAAATAACATAAAACAATTACAGCTTAAAAAGATAAAAAAAAAAAAGAAAATGTCGCACACCATCGGTGATTATAGACTGTTGTCTTTCGATACCTACCAGGACTATCTGAAATCAAATACAAAGACTGATGCGTATAAGTATTTGAGGAACGCTAAAGTTGTGAATCAGGTGGTTAAGCTAGGCTATCACACGAATGTCACCATATACGAGGAAAATCAATTTTACGAGATCAAAGAAAAACTTCTCGAGCAAATGAATCCAGTATCGCATCATGGCTTGTTGTTTAGTAGTTTTATGAAAGGTAATGATCCGGCTTTATGTGCTCTGGCGTCGCGAGAAGAGCGCAACATGCAGAAGAAATTATCGGTAAATAAAATCGGTAAATTATTAGCATAATAAACTGATACAATCTTGATTATATTTGCCAGACCATTATATTTGTGCAGCAACGACGGCGCAGTGGCTTCGATATATCCGGCTATATAGACTACGAGGATAGCTTGCGGGCAAGCAGCCTTCATCTGCTCGGCTGCACCAATTGGCAGGCCATATTCGAGGGCCGCATCCTGTTGAGGCCGAAACACACCGACTTGAGCTACTATGATTGGCACAGCGGCAAAATTCACTACAATAACACCAACAACTATGACGTCATGCATGTTGGCATTGCCTTGCTATTCAAATACAAGGGCGATCACAAATACATTCCGTTGATAAGTTCGGATGGCCTCTTCAGAGAAAATGTGAAGCGCACAGCCATAGCGTCGCCAATGTACGGAATGATGGTTTTATATGATCATATCATTAGGAAGGCCACCTAATAATATATAGCTATAACCATTTTTACATAGACATACAAATACAGTGTGTAGTACTTCATCTATAGTATAAGGTAGCTTATAAGAAAATAAACTACATAACCATATCGAGCAAAGAGAAAGAATTTGTTTTAATAAAAAAGAGATTACAAAGCGGCCTATGTATTGGATTATATAGAATAGTGTTAGAAAAGTATATGCATTAAATTCAATTGAATTATTCTGGTAATTAAATATTTAAATAATTAAATCTTAAAAATTAATTTATAACATTTTTATTAATTATGAAAAGCTAAGTTCATTTAATTAAACTTTAACTTCTGGAAACTTAAAAATATTTCTTTATGCATGAAGAGCAGCAGGAACAGTAGTAGGATGAGGAGCATGAGCAGGATGTGGACCAGGAACAGAAAGAGGAAAAGTAGAGGGAAGAGGAATAGATAGGAATAGGAATAGGAACAGAAACAATTAAAATATTTTCTTACTTAAATATGTAATAAATATAAAAAACTTACAAGTGAAAAATAAATACGACTTGAAATAAAATAAAATCTCAAAGATAAATATTAAAATTAATATTATTATATTTTAAAAAATATAATAAATAATTGAAGAAATATACAATAAACTCAAATCAACTATATTTAAAATGATTACATAAATATTTGCAATTAAATTTTATTGCAATTAAATTTTATAAATTTTTACAGCACTTAGCATTTTTTCATCTCTGCTTTCCTTATATACAACCGAATAAGTCTCTTCACTTCAAACAAATTTTACATAACCGAAAACTTCAAATAATTTCGACCTAAATTGCTTCAAAAGTCGGTTGCTGACACCTATTTGATATGCATTTATTAAATATAGAAAAGTATTTCAAAAATGCGATTAAAATATTCATAGAAAATCATATTTGGAACTTATCCAGTCTTTTACTCTCGTAAGGACACATAAAAATAAAGACAATATCAAAATAAATAAAATTTTCTCTTGCATATATATAGGAATATATATGTGTATATATCCATAGCTATATACGAGCCATAAGTAGGCGACCATAAAAGCCACGATCGTTCAGCAGCTTTGCGCAATTCAGCCACGAATTCTTGTAGAGCAAAGTCAACGGACCGTAGACATTCTCCCGTGTGAAGTCGCACTTTTCGCATAGATTCGGCTGGAAGCGCACCTCCGAGTAGGTGCCGCTGACCAGGGTGTAGGTGAGTCCCAGTGAACCGCGACAGCCGTCCGGCGACTCGAGGCACAGCTGAAAGAGTAAACTGCAATTGCAGTTCTGCTGATCGGCTGGCTGCTCCACATCGTCAGGCGTCTGCCATTTGAGCTGGATGGACCAGCTCTGGCTAAACGCCTCAAAGATGCTGCAGATCTTGAAATTGTTACGCGGAAATCCCTCCACTTGTGGCAATAACTGCAGCAGTCTCACCGTAATATGAGGCAATTGCAACAACTTCATTATTTTGCCCAGCAGACACTGTTTGGCATCGCGTGCCGCTTGCAGCTGATTCAGCTCATCCAGCAGTTGCAGTCCACGTTTGTCCTGATACTGACAGTTCTTCTCGTGTTCCGTCACCGCTACGCCCAGCACCCCTTTCCACTTGCAGCCAATGCGCCGATACTTGCACGTCACCAGCCGCAGGGGGCAGTCCGTCTGGCAATGATCGCGCAGGTAGCAGCGCTGCACATTCAGTCCACAATCCTCACAGGCGACCTGTAGCTCAGCCAGTTGACGTTCGCCCTCTTGGTTGCGGTAGGGCTCATGCCGATAGATGCGCACACTGCACTCTGGACAGGTGCCCAGCTGTGTGTCCAGCATCTTGTCCAGCACACGCATCTGGTAGCACCCGGCACAGAGAATGTGCTCGTATTGACACTGATAGAGCGTCGTAAATGGCAGCGTTTTACACACAATGCACCGAAAGGCTTCGATCTCATTCGAAATGCCCTCGATGGTGCCGCACGCATTGGGTACATTTGTCATCTCATCATCCGTATCGCAATAGCTTGATAAGCTTATGCTTCGATCCGGCATTTCGGACGGAGCAAGCAGGGATATGCTGGGGTGTGCCTGTGGCGTGTCATCATTACTCTCGCCCCTTTGTACGTTCTCAGTAGACATGCTGTTTAATAGTTGTATTTAAATATCTCAACTTATATAATATAAGTAACTATATGTATATAAATATATATATTGAAAATATGTATGTGAATTTTGTAAACGTAGTTACTGGGATGTGCTGTATAAAGACTTTTAGTACTCACACTTAAAACGACTCTTCGAATTACAGCTTACTTCGATTAGCTTTGTACGAATATATTTAATTCTTACATTATAATATTATTATATTATAATAATTTTATTCAATAAAAATCTGTATAATAAATTTTTTTTTAATTTTTAGAAGACTTATTTTTTAAAAATAATTTTTTAATTTCCCAAAAATATTAATGTGTGCAATTTTTATAAAAAATATAATTAAGAAATATTCTTATAAAATTTATATTGAATTATATTTTAAAAAATATAATAAATAATTCAAGAAATATACAATAAACTCAAATCAACTATATTTAAAGTTATTACATAAATATTTGCAATTAAATTTTATACATTTTTTGCTTCGTTTTGGCTATTTGAAGTTTTTGTTGCCTGAAAGAAGCTTGGCCAGAAATAGAAGCCGCATGCGAACTTCTTTTGTTGTCGATAAATTTAATTAGGAAATTTTTTAATTAGTTTTTGCACTCAAAGAATCGAGCTGGGCGAAAAATCATAGTAGCAGCATATTAAATAACCCTGGCTTGACAAATTGGCAGACAGTAATAAGGGACGGCTGCCAGCTTGGGAAGTGACTCAAAGAAGTTTATAAAAAACGAAAGGGAAAACTCCTATAGCTGACTTAAAAAGGAAAAGAGAAGAAAAACTATCTGGCAGCTGCTTTGGCTAAATAATAAACAGCCCTAAATCATTTCAACAAATGCCAGCCACGTGATTTCCGCCTGCTGCACGTGCCACAACGGCTCCTCCTTGCATCACCTCACAGCTGCCGAAGCAGAAATTATTGGCAACGCGCTTAAGCGCAATAAATATGTTTGATTGCTGGCAACGAGCCAAAAATACAAAATACAAAAAAAAACAAATTTCAGTTTTTCGAGTGCACTTTCAACATTCGCTGTGGGCCAGTGCTCCCGTACATATCTACCATATCCCGCCGCTCCTGCCGCCAATTTGTAATTCATTATTTGTAAATCGCTGCAAGCTGTTTGCGCTGCAGTTTTTAATAGACGCTGATGCCGATCTGTGCAAGGCACACAAAGCATCGCCAGCAAAACGGATAAGCAAACAAAACAAAAAAAAACAAAAATGAAAAACGGTTTTCTTGCTACATAAATTACTTTCCTTTTATAAGCTGCAGACAATTTAAAGCTGGTTTCTAGATGTAACAAATATTAGTAAGCAATCATAAGCAAACGTGGAGCAATTTTATTGGATTAAGGTAGATTTTGTACTATCAAAAAAAATTTACTATTACTAAATTTATTATTATTTATTACTAAATTTACGGCTAAACAGAAGTTTTTGGGTTGTGAAGCCAATAAATAAAATTTAATTTTACAGAATAAACTATGAAGTACTTTCTTTTAATTTTAGTTTAGGTTTCGATATATATACATAAGTAACTTTAAAGTATTATATAATATTTACAATTAGGTTAAATATTTATAAGTTATTATTCTTATTTAAAAATATTTTCTGAATTAAAAAAGTAAATTTTATAATTTTATATACATTATTTTTCATTTATAAATAATTAATGAAAACAAAAAAATTTGTAAGAAATGTATTTCAAAAAATTTATTGCACTGATAAATTTTAAATTGACACACTTAAAAACTAATTATAATTGCTGAAATCTTATATATATAAACCTAATATCTATATAACATATAAAAAGCTTTGTATAAATTATTTATAATTTATTTTAAATCATTCTATTCCACTATCTAATCTATATTATGCACTCTACTTTGCTCAAATGCTTTAATAGAAACCTGGTAAGTTCGCAACGGCCAAAGGACAAACAGGAAACTTAAAACCTTATGTACGTCCCATGGCCAAAGGAATGAAAACCGCTTAAAAGAAGCTTGAGTCAGACTGAAAAAATAAAATAAAATAAATAAAAAGGGAAGTAAAGAAAAGTGCAACTAAAAACGCTTTTGTGCACAATTCGATTATTTACGTAACATTTTTTTAAATGATATTTCCCGCTGGCCAAGGGGGTTAGCGTGTTTGGATTGTAATGGAGCTGATGCCAAGGGAAACCAATTATCTAGTAGCATGGCATGGCATGGCGTGGCATGGCATGAGCTAGGGAGTGAGGCCAAAGCAGCGCAAAGCCAAGAATATAAGTATCTGGCAGCTGTGGAGGCAAACAGCAAACAAAAGATCAAATTAATAGCCAACTAGTTTCTCGACCGGCAACAAATACAGCTGGCAGAACGTCACTTGCAGTGGCCCAACATTTGTACAGTTTGGCGGCAGATGGGTTAGGGCAAACATGAAACACGCTATAAAACGCAGATGATGGTGCAACAGAGGCATCACAAACATATCCGGTGTTCAACCATAAGCATGTCAAACAAGTACGCATTGATCTTTGCCCTGGCAGCCCTCTGCTGCCTGGTGGCAACCACCGAGGCAGCTGCACAGCGACGCAACGGCCTGGTACGCACGCCCATCGAACAGGCGGACGAGATCCAGCCAGTTGACGCGGACAACGAAGAAGTCGAAGAAGGCCAAATCGATGAAGAGGGCGATCAGGAGGGTCGTGAAGAGGCTGGCCAGGTTGCAGTTCAATCCAACGAGCATCGCAACACCGCCATCGATAATGGGTCAAAGAAAACGGTTGCTCGGCCCAGCAACGAAGATGGCCGTGCCAGGCGCGTCGTCCGCAGGCGTCGTGGCAACCGTCGCAACAGGAGCAACCGTCGTCGTCGTGGTGGTCGCAAAAATCGCAGTGGCGTCCGTCGCACCATCAGAAGGCGCAGTGGCAAGCCCCTGAGGGGTTAAGCCATCCATGCTACACACACTCAATCCGATACGGACACACCGATGTACTTAGGCCAACACAATACACACACACACACCAACACACGCGCACACATTGAACTGATTTATGTGTTATACTTATTTAATTTTCCTTTCAAAAACAATCCAAAACCAAATACAAATTTTCACTAAAAACTATATATTTTCTTTGATGTTTTCTGTGGGGGTAAAACACAAAAAAATGCCACAACTCTATCATAAATTTAAAGCCTGAATATTGATTGAGTTTGTTTAATTTATTATTATTATATTTAATAAAGATATTTCTAAAATGATTGGTTAAAATATATAGACAAATCATGTATAAGTCTTTGTTTTAAATATTCAAAAATTAAAAATGGTTAAACAATTTTTTTATATAAAATATTTTAAGAGATATCGAATTATATTACGTGAGTAAAATATTTAAATTATATTTCGTTTTATGCCATATTATAAAAAATATTTATTATAATTTAAAGCTATTAAAATCAGAAGAAGATATAGAACTAGACAATAGTACAATAATATATATAACTAAGCATATATTTTAGGAGAACTTTTTAGATATAGAACTTTCAAAAATTATTTGCAATAATAGATAGGGAAATGCAGAGAATATATGAAAACAAAAACTTATTTAAAAAGATCGAATCTGAAGTATATATAATAAAAGAATTGGAAAAATATTCAATTCAATATAGAGATTTAAAAAAAAAAACAAAAAAATTTAGTTTATTCAGTATATAATTACGAATTATTTTTGAAGTGATAAACCCATTCACAACAAATATTTTATTTGTTATAATCTAGCTTGTAAAAGTGAAAGAATAACATTTGCAGGCAGTCAATTTGTAAATTAATTTGTAATTTGAAAAAACCATATTATATTAAAAAGTCATTTTAAATATATTCTTGATATATCAGAGAAACACAGAATATTTTTCTGAAAATAAGAAGTCAATGTTTAATATATTTTTTATAAATAAACATTTACACTATAATTTTTGAATAATTTAATGCGATCCAACATCATATAAGAGGATATTAAGAGCACATAGAAATAAAATGCGACGTGAGCAGCAAATAAGAAAACCTATATAAAAACCTATATTGAAGTTCTAAAATCAAAGCAATTCATGAAATTTTATGTCTTTATGCAGAAATCCGCATTTGTAGTCAGTACAAATGGAGACCTATATAAAACCTCTCACTATATATTTAATTAATTTCAGCCAGCTCTGTCAAATACCTTTAAGCTCCTTACGGTTGTATCTATGAACTATTGCCTCATCTTTTTTGCTAGCCAAGTTTACAGTTAGCTACATGTGTTTAAGCACTTGCCACATTGCAGCTGAAATGGATGGAAGTTTAAAGCATCGGTTTAATACAGTGCATGCCAAAAATTCTTTGGATTGCGAAGCGAAGTTTTGCAACAGCATGCGAAAAATGCCAGTGGCGCAAATGCCAGAGGCCTGCTACTCGTCAGCTACAGTTGAAGCTGGGCTCTTGCTCTGGCCAACAACTGAGGCGGGCGACGTGACATGTGACAAGAACTTGCCGCGGCTGCCTGCAGCAGCCAGATGCTGCTGCTGCTGGCTACAAAAATGATGAATGTGCCAATGTTTCTGGCCTGCTGGATGAAAATCTCTTGTGCTCTGCCTGCCTGCCTGCGCGCCCGTTCTGTCAGCGTTGTCTCAACTTATGCCGACTACACTCGAGCAAAACTTCTTAGCCAGTGTGTAAACGCAGTTGGGCCGCAACTTTTTGTGGCCGCCAAGTTGCAGCAATTTTTGGATTATTAGGCAACACTTGGTGCAGCGCACAGCATCTTGGCCAAGTTTATCAACACAAAAGTTTTTGTAGTGTAACGCCGAGAGTGCTACCTACCCTACTAAATGGCATACGCATTAAACCTCAAATAGTTTGTAGGCATCTCGGATGGGGCAGGAAATTAAATCCATGTGCTGAGCAGGCAGCTGGGAAAACATCAACACAACCAATGCCGCCATGTGCACATTTTGGATGGGCAGCCAACCGCATTGATGAGCATTTGCTATTGTTATTGCCCCAGTCGAGCCGGCGAACTGCATGTGTGGCATTTATTCAGTATTCGGTGTCGCTGCCAAAAATAATCACAATAATAATGAGACTTCGCTATACGTTACTCGTGACTCGCTTATGCGTTACTTGTGACAGTGCCTGCGCCTGTGCCTGAGCCTGCGCCAGGGACAAGGACGCTTAATTAAGCGCACAATGTGCATTCGAGAAATTTTGTAATTTCCTATCCATCAGCTACACGTATGCTCTTATCGCTCATTTTGCTCTGATGAATAGACAAGAAACGGGCGACTGTGTGTGGAGGTGTGTGTGTGTGCGGGTGTGTGTGAGTGCCTTTGTATGCATCTATTCGAGAAACAATAAGCTCTCGTCAATGTTTGTCTTTTTGAGCAACAACAAAGCAGCTCGAGCTAAACAATTCAGATATGACAATAAGGCAAATGAATTGAATACGTTTAGATAGACTCGGCAAACATATCGCAGCACCGCCCCGATCCGCCCACTCCTTTTTATATAAGCAAAGAAAGCTGCATACAATTTCAATAGAAATTTCATTTTACCTCCGTACAGCTCTCAATAATGACCCAATTTTCATATTTATACAGCATTTGGTAATTTACAAATTTAGGCCTATATAGAGTAATAGAAAGCTGTATCAATTGTTTATTTCGGTTGCTAAAAACCTTTGAATTGTGTAAATCATGAAAAATAATTTATCTTTGGAACGAGATAACTAGAAAATAGTTAAAGTTGCGCAATTACATTTAATATTAAACTTTAAAGTTGAAATATTGTTGAATTTAAAAATGATTTTTAGTTTACTCTTAAAGCCTACACTTAAAAATATTAATATAAATATTAATATAATACTGATACGATTCTTAGCTGCACTTTAGTTATATATTTTAGTAGAAAATAAATTAACTTTCTGTTGAAACTTGATCTGCTTCTATACTCTTTCTAAACTCTAAGCTAAATCTAATAGAATTTTATGATTATATCTGGCAAGCATTTTTCTAGTAGCTTAGATGAATTGGTCGAAGTCGAAACAACTTTTAAGCTCAGCATAGTTTTCATCCTTGTCTATTCTTCATATTTTTTGGACTAAAATAAAGAAAATACTTTATTTTTAAGAATGAATGTTTTTATTAAATAATTGTAAATCAAAATATTTTTCTTTATTTTGCTTTTTAAATGTAATCAAAGAATCTAATCAAATTGATTAATTTTAGAATCGTTTTTTAATTTTTTTTCATAAAAATTTATTTTTTCAGCAAAATTTTATTTATTTTTAAAAATTATTTTACTTTTGCGAGTTGTTTATATTAAAATTTATAACCTGGTACGTTTTGAACTAACTTATTTTTTTAATACACAAAACATTGACGTTCCTTCCAATTAAATATTACTTATTTAAAAAGTTGACATTTTAAAAATGAGTTTATATTAGAGACTTAAGAAGCGTCAATGAGTATATATTTTATCGCATAAATAAATTAGTGATCTAAATAATGAGGCGCTTGAAATTAAGTTCTATATTTTCTTTTCGCTAAATTCAAAATATTTAGCTTAGATTTAATTTATTTTCTTCAATTAAATTTTAACATAAATTCGCTCTTCGCTTTAACTTTATGCATGCGAACAATGCTGAATTATTTTTCGTTTATATCTGTAGTGCAGTTTCATAAATTGAAACAATAATTCGCAGTTACAGTTGGGAAACATTGGAGAACATTCGGCTGGACTTGCCACAATTTACATGCGGACCGAACAGCCTCACGGCATTGCCTTCGTAGCGGGCCCAACGAGCCAAACGAATATATTATAAATGAATGCTGCATATTTGTAGTTTTTTGCACAAGACTTCTCTCCACAGTTTCTTCACCACTTTGCCTCCTCTCGAATGTTTTACAGTCGGCTGTGATTTTTCGGCCGACTCTTTTTTGTTTGTTGAGGCAGCGTGGGTGTGGGCGTGGGCAAATATGCGCAAGGGTAAAGAAAGAAAATCACACGACGATTTTCAATTGAATGGCGGAAATGTAACGGAAATAAATTTACATAAATACAATATGGTGCGTGCTTGTTGGTGCCATTTTATTTGCACAATATATATTGTGCATGCACGCACAAACATATTTGCACAGAGCCGCGTATTGATTTATATATATATATTCGTTTTTTTTTTAGATATTCCATTTGGAAAAATCAAATTTAAGTCAGAAACTTTGGTTTTGCCGAAAAGCCTGCTGCCTCGCTGTCTTCGACGGCAGCACTTTAATGCCCAAAAACATTTTTGCCATTTCGTGATCAAATTTCGAGCACTATCACGTGTGTTACACACACGCACACTCGTTTACACACACCTGCCTATCTAGGCAGCCGCCATAAGCTAAGGGTAAGAAAATTTTTTCTTTAGCATGCAGCATGCATTATTTGCATAAGATAAAAGATGCAAACAAAAAGAGAATGCTTAAATAGACCTTGATAGTCCGCTAGCTGCTCTGTAAAAGCAGCAATGTAGTTATGCTTATATTTTATTATTTGAATATATTTTTGTTTTAATTATACAAATATACATTTTTAACGAATAATATGATCGTATAGTATTATATAACCATATAAGTCTGAATGTATCATGGAGCGAGAAACATTTTCAGCATAATGACTGGGCTTCGCACAGACCGGAATCAATTTGTGATCATCCTTATGTTTGAATATTAATGTGTTTCTACCGGCGACCGACTCAAAATTATCTGTATCTGTCATACAAACGATGCCTTTGTGCCAGTCGTAGTAGCTCAGATCGGTTGGTTTCGGCTTCAACAACTCCCGACCCTCGAAAACGGCTCGCCAATTGGTAAAATCAGGCTTTCTAAAGGTGCAATGGCGCAGACTCTGCTCATAGTCTATGTAACCTGATACATCGAAGCCACTACGCTGACGTACCTGCATAAAGATAATGGTCTGGCCAAAGGCAAGGCCCGTGATATACACTCACATATACATGAAGACATATATTTTATGTACGAGCTTACCGATATTTTATGCAACAGATTGGGTTCCTCACGATGCATTAATGCACTCAGAGCAGCATCTGTGCCTTTGAAATGGTTGCCATAGAGTACGCTCGAGAGGACCTTTGGATTCATGAATTCCAGAATCTTGGCACGCAGCTTATTGAACTCAGCTTCATCGTAGATCTTGGCAGTGCTGCGATAGCCGAGCCGCACCAGCTTCCTGATGGGTGACATGCTCGATAAGTAGCGATAGTCTTCATTTCTAATAAAGGAAGTCATATAACTGTTGTAAGAATCAAACTGCAATAGCCTAAAATCAATATTAGCCGTCATGGTGAATACGTTTGTCTCCTTCTATGAATATTGATATTTATTTGTATATCTTTTTTATTTATGTATATATACTCTGTATATACTTTGTATTGTATTGTATTGTTGCTTGGTAGTGTTGTGTCTTGTATACCTTATTTTGAATTTTGTCACAGGGCATGCTGCCTCCGACTGCTAACAGGCAAAAATGTGAAAATGTATTTTCTATAAAAGCCAAGCAAAAACTCACAACGATGAGAACGATGCTGATAAAGACAACACACACTGAAGAGACAAGGAACGTGGCCGCCTGTCGCCATTTTGTTGCATTTGCGACTTATATGCATATGTATGCACACACACACGCACACCCAAGGAGACATACTCGTCTGCATGCATGCCTGCTTACATGTGTATATGGGTCCCAAACTCAAACGTGCAGTAAAAATTACATTTTCCTTGCACGAACATTTGCCACAACCAACTGCACGAAAATGCACAAAGATTTTCTTGTTCTTGCGCACTTTTTCTTTGCCCCTGCCCTTTCCTTTCTTTTTTTTAGCTGAATCGTACTTTTGTTTTTACTCGAACGATGGCGGAAAACGTTTTCCATTGGCAGCAACATTGGCGGTCCGACAACATTCTTGAACATTGGCCAAGCATAATGAAAATGGCAATCAAGAGTTTAAAAAAATTTGAGTTTACAATTAAATTTGAGTAAGATAAAAAAAAGAAAGCAATTGACATTTTTAGTATGTACACTATTATTGTTTATAAAATATATTTATTAAATATTTTCAAATTCTAAATATGCAATATCTTATATTTATTAATATTCTAAGTCATTTTCTTTAAGAAACCGAGTCGAAAATTTATTTTAAAATTTTTTATTACAATAACTCAGATTACTCAAATATATAAATACTAAAAAAAATCATAAAAAAGTCATACAATCAATATATATAATTTAATATTGTACTAAAAAATAAATAATAATCAAAAAAAAATTAAAACCAAAAATTTAAAAGCAAAAATAATAATACTGTATAAATAAAAAAATATGTATTTAATTTTAAATATATTCAATTTTATTCTGTTTATTTTGTAACTTTGTTACTAATAATTTAATTTTATATTTATTTACATAATTTTAAAATTATTTTTATAAATAATCAAAATACTTGAAGCAGTTACAATTTTTAATTTAAAAAGAAATAATGCAAAAATAATAATATATATATAAAAAATTTTTAAAAAAATTTGTTTTGAATTCTATTTTTATTAGTCATTGCACCACTGTGCACTATGTTAGTTTAAATGGCGCAGAAATCGGTTTTACCACTCGTACGTTTGGCATATTTTACAAATGCATTTGACATAAATTTTAAAGGGCTTAAGTGCCGCAACCAGCGTCCCCCGTCATTCCCATGCCGTGTGGCAGAGCCTTGGTCCACGTAATGTGCCACATGATAAGAAGACGACAACGCCTACAACGTCTAGAGGAGGATGTTGAAGCGTTTGCTGGGTCGTTAAATCTTTGCCGGGTGCAGACATAAAATAGGGCAATTACAGTAAAGATCATAAATTATGCGAAAGCTTCGCAACAAGTGCGCGATAAAAAAGAGACAACAGCAGCCAATAGAAGAATAGAAAAATACAACAGGAAATGGGACAAACGTCAGACAATCATCAGTCACAGCCGCACTTGGGGTAATCCCGAATTGAGGAATGTGAAAATCTATTATAGGATTTTCACTTTTCCTTTGGTCTGTCTGTTTTGCATGTGTGCAAATCTAACTCGACCAAGTACTCGGTACTGGGTACTCAGTACTCAGTACGCAGTACTCAGTACTTGGTAGTCGGTACTCATGTCGTTTATCAACTGTCAGGCGAAATGCATTCCAGCAGCTGCTGACAACAATGAGATGCGAGCTGCTTATCCTTTTCAAAACCTACCAACTGCAGCTCCGTCGTCTGCTCATGCAAATAGGTTTTACTGCTGGTGCATTAAGTGTATGCGATTTCCTTTCAACAAGGACAATTTAATGCAAAAATGCATGCTTGACAGCCCAGCCGAGAGAGGGGGACACGGAGATAGAGAGAGAGCGAGAGAAAGGCGGGTTAAGCGGCACTTCAGTTATGAATAAATAATCGTACCTATACGAACTTGACTCTTGAGCATATTGAATCGCATCTACAGCGGGCTTCAATATTGAACTCGAGTTCAGTTTTCTCCGAGAGCGCTTAGTGAGGCGTGTTATCGTCGGCCTTGCATGCTCGCACAACCCATAAATGTCAATTGGCCACGCAAGTGGTAAAGTGGCAAAGCGGCAGGCGGCATGCGGCAACAAGTCTACGCAGTGGTAATGGCAAGGAAATGAAAAGCGGCTGCAGCTGTAGCTCACAGTGTCATAATTATAGATGCTTATCGCTCCATTTGTGCAATATGCATAAGCTATTTAATGGATGAGAGAGCTGCTAAATGTGTCAAATTCGATTTTGTATTAAATTCTCTGCATTTGAAATATTTATTTGCGCATGAACTATTTAAATTATGGGTCTTTAAAAAATGAAATATAAAAAATAAAATTAAAATGTTTAAGCTTATTCTTATATTTTATTTTTCATACTTTTTAATTTACATTTTTAAATTCATTTTAAAATTCAAAATTATTTTGTGTAAATAAAATAAATTTTAATTATTATTTATATGAATAGAAAATGTTTTTTGATTTTTACTAATTAGAAATTCACAAAAATTTCATACGTATACTTTAATTTCATTAATTGCCAATCAGAGTTTTTCAAAGATTTTTTTTGTAATAAAAAATACTTTAATTTTATTATTTAACATTCAGCATATTTTAAAGTCTTTTTATCCAAGAAATATATAATTTTTGATTTCAATAAAATTATTTTTCCCTCAAAAAAAAAGCTTTAAATAAATTTGTTTGCCGATAATTTACAGAGTCTGCTTTTGTTATTATTCCAGCTCTGTAAACTAAATCGGTTAGTGTGCATGACAATTGCTTAAAGCAGAAGCAAACAGCCAGAGGAACAAATCGTAAATTTAATTCGAATCAAAAGTTCGCATAGCAGATGAAAAGCGTAGAGTTTTCCGCAAGCTTCCCATTGGAAGCTGCTGTTTGCCTCAGCGTCTGTCAGAAAAATAAACAAAACTGCGAATTTTATCGTGCTGAACGTTTATGCGCAAATTGCTTCCAGGTTTCTCGGCGATGCCTTGCTGCGTGTCTATCTGTCGCCTTATCGAATTTCAGACAACGACAGACATTGAGAATGATGCCAGGACAACAGACTGCCAGGATAGCAGGATGCCGCCAGGATACCAGTACGTTAGGACAACGCGCCGCAGCATTTGACAATGGCTGACGATTTTGCTTGGCATAGGAAACTTTCGTTGCTCAAGGCGTGAAATGAAATCGACAGTAATTTGTGTTTATCTCACTCGATATATATATCTTTATATATATATTTTTACTAAACATGTAACTATATATATTTGTGTAACAATAACAATTGTCAGCAGCTGTGAGAAAAGTTTTGCAACAGGAAATTACTTTAATTTGTGAAGTTGACTTTATCAAACTAAATGATCGAATACAACTTGTACGCAACTTGTACATGCTAACCACAAGTTAGTATTTCCATCGATGGCTTAAAGTCAATAAGCCCACTTCATCATATTGCCATATGTCGACTTCTGTGGGCACCAGATGGATATGGAAATGGAAACGTCTAAGTCGCTTTGATGGCGCATAAGTAAGTGCCCATGAATAATTCATGACCTATTTATACAAAATCGAAATGATAATCGTGCACTTTAGCATTTAAATCAGAGTGTAAGAGCGGGCGAAAGACGAAAGGAGAGAGAGAGAGAGAGAGAGAGAGCAACAAAAGATGCTGCCACCTAGAGCCAAGTGACAAACAACAGAAAAGAGTGAAGTGGCAAATTTACATAGAATTGGTGTGAGCGACATTTCTAGATGTTTAAATTATTAAGTAAAGCCATGTCAAATGACTGAGTAGAGAAAACAAAGCACATTTTAACTTTGTAGCTGGCAGCAGGTATGAAAGGATCTGGTCTAAACTTAACAAATATGTTAAGCGTCAAGGATTTGCTCTGGCTTGTTTGTGCTATAAAAGTGAAGTAAATATATTATAAACAGCTAGATTTTATTATATATATTTTATTATATATATTATATATATTATAATCAGCTAGATTTCATGATAATTAATTATTACGATTGCTTTCTATATTATGAAAAGTATAGGCATTTATAATATGAAATGCCAAAATTCCTTAAGCATTGAAATAAACTGGATTTGATTGAACTCTAAATTAGTTTCATTAAAATAAACATGATTTTATTGTGAGAAAATGTAAACATAGCTGGATTAACTTCTAAGAAATGTTTTACTGCCATTTTTTTTAAACCTATAATAAGAAAATTTATAATATTAATATAGGCTTATATAGGATACTATTTACATTCGCTGCTTATAACAGCTGCACCAATTATTAAAAGGATTTGCCGTATGATCCTGACTCGTCATGCTGGAACAGTACGAAGTAAGATCTTATGCTTAAAGCGCAGCAAAGGTGAGGCCATTGAGTAATAAAAAATAATTATTGACTTCAATAAAAATATTAATGCATACAACAGCTTTTACTGGCTTTTTTATTTTTTTAAACTATAAAAACATGATTTAAAACTAAAAAAATATATGCAAACTTTTTCAAATTTTTAAGGCAGCGGCATTATTATATGTATTTTTTAAAATTTTTTAAAATAATTTTCTTAAAAATAAATGACCCTCTTTATGAACTCTTTTTACGGTTTCTTCATTCTTTAATATTTTAATTTTCATACAATTATATTTGATTTCAATTCACATCATATAAACCCTCCACAAGCTCTTAAAGTGAATTAGAAATATACTTTTTATGGAAAAACAATTTGTACTGATGCTGAGTTGCAGGCGAATTAAACAATGACTGGACTTCAATCACAGTTACAAACAATTATTCGGATAAGGCCAACAACAAATTGGCATTCGGTTGGCAAACAATCATTAGCAAAAACTGTCA